ACAGATGGCCCACCTCTTTCATTAGTTCGCACCCAATGCACACCTAGAAAACCCACACCCGATTCATGCCCACTCCACACTTGATCACCTCGAATGGCTCACCTCTTACAGCACTGTATACACCGGGACCATACCCGAGAAACAATGAACCACACCTTTATTGCCTCCCATTAATTATACACATTCCCCACAAACGAACAAAACTTAGTGTAACCAAATCTCACCCCGCAGCCCGAAAATTCCACAGCAGAGAAAGTCGCGAAGAGACTATTATTTGCAAAGAAAACGACTACAATACACAGTATACACTACAGTATATACACTTACCTCCCAGAAACGTATGGGCGAGTGTGGGGTGTATTTTTTTTTTTTACCTTAAGAAAGTTTAGATACACGGGAGGTTACACACCCACTACAGTTGACTAGTCACTGGCAAGCCACTCGATATATTGGACTATAAATCATTACATGCATTAACACGTGGTCATGTCCAACAGACCTGAGAGAGGATGGGGCTTGTGACCGTTTGGGTTGAGTGACTAGCAGCAGGAGGATGGGTGGTGGTGGTTCTGGCTAGCGGCCGCCCTTCTGAAGACTTCGTCGAAGGTAACTCATTAGATATCCAAGCACTATATTCTACACTCGTAACACCTGCCTCTCAGTACACCTCTGTGTTTAAGTTGCTTACAGCCAGAACACCGATAGGTACTCCAGCATGGTGGCGCCACAACTCGACAGTCTGACTATTAAGACACCCCTCACAAACCCGCAGGGCAGACAAACGCCATGATACAACACCGACACAAGACTGAGCCCTCAGCGTCTGACTCCACTGTTGCCGATGTTCTTGCAAGTTCCATGTATTTGTACCTACAGTATATTACATCCTTTCCACATAACTCCACACGCAATCTAAAAAGCACCTTCATAGTAATATTTAATCAATACACGCATAACTTCTTATAGTGAGCTATATATCTCTTAGAATCCTACACAAGGCTGGTTTTAAGACTTAACATATAAGCGCATTGGCAACTGCATTCCTGTGAATCAGCTGTCATTGACGAAATAAGATCTACTTCATCTTACTGTTTCATACTTACAATTTTATCATATAACTGAACAAAATATAATAGGTGTGTCCCTCTGCACAATTGATATCAGGATGAGACATACGCAAGAGAAGGAAACTCTTCTAGTCAGACCTTACGGCTGGCAAGGAAGTTGAGTGAGTCATGCGGTGGTGCCACGTCTACTGTTCACGAACCTTGACAACCCAGTCACGCATGGGCGAGCCCGGATGTCCTGTCTGAACGTACCTGACCCCCACACACACTATTATAATATTCTATATACAATCAGATTTGCGTACATTCCATCAGTCACATCGAATAAATTATCTACACGAGAAAAAGTAATACCCTGAGGCCTCTCCACAATCACATGGGCTTGAATTAAAGCAGGTAGAGCAGCGACTCCGCGGTTACCACACCCACTGGTCATTACAACAGAATACCTTACATGGAAAAAAAGGTTATAAACAGAATTATAACACTTAATAATCACAGAACACACGTTGGTCTAATATAGTATACTGTACTTTGCATAAAAATTCTACTTCTAATTAACTTCCCCACAATACCGGTAACATTATCAATACCGGTAGAAATAAGTGACTTGACAATATTAACCCGACAATTATTCCCAAGCACTAATCCACACCGATAGGTAAGCAACTTCAGTACTGTACTGTAATCGTATACCCTGTACTGTACTGTGTGGCATCTATCTACCGAATACTTGGGCAAAATACTTAGTAAAGTACTATAATTTACTAATTTTGTATTTTGTTCCAATCGTGTATAGCATCAGATATATAATACCAAGATAATAGCACTGGTCTCTAACTAATTTATACACTATACACCCTGTACTGTACTACAGTACTAACACAGTATAACATTCCAATAAAAATGTATTACTGTAAATGAACTGAAGGTCATTTCTAGTTTTATGCAAATCTATTAATAACCATGTTATTCACTATCGTTTTACTTTGGGTATTGTTCCACAGGAGAGCGGCAGGCAAGTTACAACACTCGCCTCCTGCTCCACAGGTCGGTAGTTCGACTCCTGGGCACTTCCAGTTCACCCAGCTGTAAACGGGTACCTAAGTTTACAACTTGGGAAACAGAATGCAGTCAAGTGCAGTATGAGCCATGCTGCCTCCTTGTGTACTTAGTATAGTATACTGTACAGTGTGCTGTATCCACACACTTACAGTAAGTCACTGGCAGAGAAAATGACAGACTCGTCAAGAGAGATTTAAAATTGTGCCCAATGAAAATGGAAGTGTTACAGAAAACTGCAATGCAGAATACATCCTAATTGCGAATAGTGAATCAATATTACCCACCAAAAATTATAATCAACTAGTGCATTAAAAGAGTGATGGAAAGTTTAACCCTGCTCGTATTGGCGGGCGTTCGTAAAGTCGGGGACTCCCTGTACAGAATATGAATTTCATATACGTACTGTAACTGCAAATTAACCACAGTACAGTATACTTTATTCGGTAGTTTATAAAAATATTGCTTTGCAATAAAATGTACAGTACTGCACACTTAAAAAAGTCCTTAAGAGTTATTTTAGTAGTGCTTTTTTTTTTTTACAGTGTGCGTGTGTGTACGCGTGCATGTGTGGGAGATGGGGGTAGCAGAAATATATCTACAGTCATATACTATACAGTACTGTATACAGGTAATGGAAATCAATAGAAAAATAGGTTTTGCATTATGGATTTTCAACTTGCTGAAAAATTGGTAGCAATACAATCTTTCCTATAATTTAATAATTTACAGGCTAAAACAATATATTTTGAAGAGTGAATTGTCTCATTTTCTTCATTTTATGAGCATCAATGCACCCACTATCTTTCAATTTCCTTTTATTGTCTGAAATTTTATGTTCATACTTTCCATGTGCATTTTTATTGTGTGTAGAATTGTTTATGAAGATCTTCGTGTTGCATATTCAAGAAAAATATACATGCAGTATGCAGTGCCGCTATAAATTTATATTGCAATGCATCAAATTTAATACAATACTCGAATGAAAGAATCAGTAGCACAGTTACAATTAGTGATACCCATGTTATTCATTGCAACTACTGTACCTACAGGAAAGGTAGAGAGGCTGAATTTGTTGGATCTCAGTGTTTGTTTAAAAGCTATGCAAAATGGACAACATTAGTTCATCTACAGTAAAGGAAACTTCTTAATCTTTAATCATAAAATTTTCATCACCGAATTTGCCAGTGTCTTATACACTGAAGGCATAAACTGTGACAATTGATTGGCTGTATGAGCCCACATACCATACAATAAGGAAAGTTACCTATCACAAGCACTATACTGTACTCTACTACAGTAAAGTACAGTACAGTGGTCCCTCGGTTAACGAGCACAATCCGTTCCAGCATGTTGCTCGCTAACCGAAAAACTCGTTAACCGAAACCATTGTTTCAATGGGTTTATGGGTAATTGGTTCCAGCTCACAGAAAATTGCCTAAATTCAACAAAAAATGTAGAAAAGCACACTTACTTTGAGGTGTGTATGTAGAAGGCTCCTGGATGATGATGATGATGATGATGATGGGAATTAGAATGGGGGTGGAGGAGAAGGAAGAAGAGAAGGCATTGGGGTGGAAGAGAAGTCACCCCATGGTGCCATTTCACCCATAAAATTTTAGTTCTCTTGGTGTAATTCAAGATTATTTTCTTTAAATCAACACTGCACTGCATTATATATTGTCAATATGTAAAATAAATTTCAAAATTACCAATAATTTGCTTGGAAACACAGAAAAAAAGCATTTAGTTGAAGAGTCTCAAGCAATATGTTACCTCCACTGAAAAGAGAGAGAGAGACTAACGCCTGTTTGTGTGTTAACAGGCTGGATGGCGTGCCAGAAACTAGTTTCTTTACCTTCAATTATGTTCAATAATTGTTAAAATGACTAAAAAATATTAATATTAAACTTTTAAAATTATTGAATAGTATAAACTTCTTGATATTTACTAAAATAGTAAGGAATTTAAGCCCTAAAACCGATTACTGTATTGGCGGACTAATACTACAGGTGGTGGACCGACAAATGCAAGCAAAAACATGTTGAGGTTGGCTTGTAAAAAACTCGTTAATCAAGGGATTGCTCGTTAACCGAAGTTAAGAATCTTATGTTAGGTAACTCGTTAACCGAGGCGCTCGTTAACCGAGGGATCACTGTACAGTGATCCTCGGTTAACGAATTACCTTCCATAAGATTACCTATTCACTTCGGTTAACGAGCAATCCCTCGATTAACGAATTCCTTACGAGCGCCCCTCAACATGTTTTCGCTTGCTCACTAGCTGTCGTACAAGTCCGCCAATACAGTAATCGGTTCTAGGGCTTAAATTCCTTACTATTTTAGTAAATATCAAGAAGTTTATACTATTCAATGATTTTAAAAGTTTAATATTAATATTTTTTAGTCCTTTTAACAATTATTGAACATAATTGAAGTACAGGAAATTAGTTTTATGCGTTCCAAACAGCCACTCAACACACCAAGCTTGGCATCAGTTTGTTTACAGGTTCAGAGGAAGGAACATCTTGTCTGAGACTCTTCAACATATACGCTTTTTTCTGTGGTTTCCAGTCAAATTATTGGTCATTTTGAAATGTATTTTACATATTGATAATATATAGCACAGTGCAGTGTTGATTTAAAGAAAATAATCTTGAATTACACCAAGTGAAATAAAATTTTATGGGTGAAATGGCAGCATGGGGTGACTTCTCTTCCACCCTAATGCCTTCTCTTCTCCATTCTCCTCCACCCCCATTCTGATTCCCATCATCATCATCAACCAGGAGCCTTCTACATGCACACCTTAAAGTAAGTGTACTTCACTGCATTTATTTTTCGTTTGTATGTAATTTTCGGTGAGCTGGAACCAATTACCCAAAAACCCATTGAAACAATGGTTTCGGTTAATTACCCCAAAACCCATTAAAACAATGGTTTCGCCTAACGATTTTTTCGGTTAACAAGCAACCTTCTGGAACGAATTGTGCTCGTTCACCGAGGGACCACTGTATGTACTAAAAAAAATTTATCAACACATTCTTTACAAAAATTGTATATGTAGCTAATATCTATTGGTGAGGAAGCAGTGTGACGTCACTCTGTGGGATGCTTAAAGAGAGGTGGTGAGAAGGTCGCTGCTGCCACGTCACACACCAGCCTTGACCACAGCTGCTACTTCCCCCACTGTTCGATTCCAACTCTGGTTGTGTACTCATCTGAGGTTCCTGGGGCTTGTGGGCTGATTCCCCAGACCTTCACTATTCGGCTGTCAACTCTGGTCACCTACTCCAGTGGCTGCCAAGTGATCGCCACTTCCTCCACGCCCTATCCACCGTCCGTGCCCTGGCGTCTCTCCTGTGTGGCAAGACATCGCCCACCAACGCCAAGTGAGGAAGCTGCCCTCGACCTTCCCCCGAGAGCGGATCACTGCATTAACAGAACATTCCACCGTGCTGGTTAGGAGGAATATCCATCTGCAGCCTGTAGGAAATACCCGTACAGTGGGGTATGCTATAACGAACGGATCCTACTATGAATATTCCTATAACGAACGGCTTTACCTATAAAATTGAGAATGCTATAACGAACGCAACTCCTACAACGAACGCGAATGAATACGGGACTATTTCGTCTGGCGCATGAATATTGTTGTACCGTGGCTCCGAGCAAGAGCGTCAGGCGCCATATTGGTTCATTGTGTAGTCAGTGCACCACTGAACTTGTTGAAATTTCGTCTTTTGATGTGGAAATTCGTGTCATTTTTATAACTATTTTGTTATACAAGTGTACAATTGTAACAATGAATCGTCAAAAGCGAGTGAGAAAGCTAATAACCCTTGAAACTATGAAAGAAATTATAAATAAACAGACAAAGTGCCTGTAAGACAGTCACCAAAGAGGGCTAGGAAGGATGACTCCTCTCCTTCCACCTCTTCTCCATAATTCTCTCCTCCCCTCCTCCTCTGCCTCCTGTTCTGCATGCTGAACAACACTAAGGTAAGATAATGTACTGTATTTTTTACAATTTCCACAGAAAATGTTCAGTGTTAAGTGGTTGTATTTGGGGGCCTGGAACGGATTAATCCTATAACAAACGAGGTTCTAGAACCAATTAGATTGGTCATAGCATACCCCACTGTACTTTGTTGTATAAATTGTTTTGTTTTAAGTAACTGCTTGACTCCAGTGCTGTTTATTTAATATTTGTGCGAGTGGTGTCAATTATTGTGATTATTTTCGTAGTAAAGAGATGTCAATCTCTAACGGTTGTTTGTTACCCCTTGGAAACCCTGGTTCTTGTCTTTCCTTTTATAAGATCCTGATTTGGCTGGCAAGGGATTTATATCCCAAAGTCCAGCCCTTTATAATAGATGTATGTAAGGACTTAGGCTATGATATAGTGGGATTTTAAACATTGTTCTATAAGTTCAGTATGCACATAGGGTATGTGTTTGTATGTGTTACGATTTTGTACATTTTCAACTTGAGAAAGTCCCCAGGAACGGAACTCATTTGTAACCCGGGGACTGCTTGTACTCTAGTGTAGCTTAAAAATATGCAAAATGTAATATAAAACTATAAAATAAGAAAAATGAAGAGCATGGATGTCGGTGTGTGAAGTAAATGTACTATTCATCGAGGCAATGGGCTGTAACTACAGTATGTCAGAAGTCCAATCACGGTCCCTAAACTCCCCCCTCCCCCCAATGTCATGACATGGCATACACACGCATCTGAGTCTGCTGGGTGACTGCCCAGAGGATGGTTTGAGTGTGGAAGGAACTAGTTTTTGTGCATAAAATGTGATTATATTTTATGATATGCTATATGTTACCACCAATGTAAGATAAACTAGGAGAGAGAGAGAGAGGAGATATAGTGTTGACGACGAATTTGCCGAGGTGTTTTAATACGAAACAGATGGCCCTCGCCTCCTGGCTGCGATTGCCCTCGACGGTAGTCTACCGATTTCTACAGGACAGACAACACGTTGGTCCAGACCACTAGAACCTAAAACATGAATGATCGTGAAATATTAGAATCTTCTAAGAAACTCTAAATAACTTTAATAAGTATATTTATGTACTGTAATTTGATCATATTATACAAATTGTCTCCTGATGTATCAACAAGTTATAACATGCGAGTTATATTTAAGATGTTAACAGGCTATGTACTGTATATTGATAGTATTATTCATACTATGTGTCCTGAGATAACAGCATTTGTTATACAAGTATGTGAATTGTGCTTTGACAGGTTTTGACCGAATTATATGGTACGAGTCAACGTTGAGGGTTTATTTCCCCAGCAACAAACTAATAACACTCCTATGAGCGAACACACTCCAGGTTGTAGATTCCACGAAGCTCCTCGGCGTCACCATAGACAACAAACTAAATTGGAAACCACACGTCAGTGAAGTTATCAAATCCTCCAGTTTCCGTCTCCACCTCCTCCGCCGACTCAAGTCCCTCGGAGCTCCTGCACACGAGCTCCTCAGTGTTTACACAACATTCATACTTCCCAAGCTCACCTATGCCTCCCCCACCTGGTCTTCCTCCCTAAATGCCACACAACGTAAACACCTAGAAAAGTGCAAAAGAGGGCATGCAAGATTATTCTCTCCCTTCCTACTCCACATATCAAGAAGCGCTCAACACACTGACCCTTTCGACTCACTGACCATCACCACGACATCATCTGCAAATTTGGTAAGAAGCTTCTACACCATCCCGACACCGGCTCCTACTACCACCTGAGATCCCTAGTCCGAGAATTGCTGTTCGACACCACAACCCATCAGCCCATACGCAACGAACCGATCGCTATAAGAACAGCCCAGTCCCAACCATTGTAAAAATTATCAATAACTTGTAATAAATCAGTGTATTCACTCCCAGTAAACACTACTCCTTGCACTGTCACTATGTTGAAATGAACTGTAGTTTGAGCTTTTCCCCATCTAGTTATTATATGTCTTATTTGTGTCACTTATGTTACTTGTATATTATTTGTAATTCGTAACCCATTCCCCAAATATGTAACTGTATATTTTCAGCCTTCTGGCTGCCAAGCTCTTTCAATAAACCGTTAATAATTATTATTATTATTATTATTATTATTAACACTATATATCAGTTTTATTACCATAATTTATTTACATTTTTTATGTATGCAATTTAAAATTTGCTCAAATTTGACTCGCCTTTAGCTCAGTAAATTATTTACCTCTGAACCACATCGTTCATACTGAGGTTTCGTATTAATAAATCAATCATTTAACTTTGACACCATTTATAACAAACTTGTTTAGTATTATTATTACAGTATTAGGCAGTACAGTACTGCATTCAATGTTTACCACACTACCATTTGAACTCGTTCTCCCTCCGTGTTTTGCCGTTATCCCTTGTTTAGCGATAATTTCGCATAAAGTTAGGTTTTCAGGAAAGCAATCCCAACATTCAACGAGGGATACTGTACCTGTACAGCACACACTATAAAAGAGTAACTTTACAGCTTTGTGCTAAACAATATGACAACTACAAAGGATTTTAACAAATGCTTTTGGACTTACTAATCCAAATTTAACTGAGATAACAGGAGTTGCAATGTTCATTTAGAAATTCATCAGACCCATCCATAAAGATTTTTTTTATTATGTGTACCTCATTATAGTATTTCAATTGTATACAGACCTGATTAGAAAATTTAACTAACACAAGAAGGGCTATGATTATGACAAAAATAGGAATGAACACTTGAAATGCCTGTAGTCTTATAACACGTTTGTTGCCTCCATAACCATATTACAGTACAAACTGTACAGTGCAGTATTTGGCTGTGAAAAGGAAGCGCATTCTACATGTATACGTGCTCACTCAAGGAAACAGTCATTTATCTTAAGAATATATACAAAAGATTCATTATTGTTTATTACTGAATATGTATTTGATTGAATTAATGTTTATATACAGTGATCCCTCGGTTAACGAGATTTCGGTTAACGAATTACCTTCCATAAGATTCTTCACTTCGGTTAACGAGCAAACCCTCGGTTAACGAATTCCTTACGAATTTTTCCCAACATGTTTTCGCCTCCATTTGGCTGCCCACCAGCTGTAGTATTAGTCTGCCAATACACTAAACGGTTTTAGGGCTTAAACTCCTTACCATTTTAGTAAATATCAAGAAGGTTGCACTATTCAATAATTTTAAAAGTTTTATATTCAATTTTTTAGCCATTTTAACAATTACTGTACTGAAAATAATTGAAGTACGTATAGGAAGCTAGTTTTTTGCGCACCAAACAGCCACTCAACACACCAAGCTTGGCGTCAGTTTGTTTACCAGTTCAGAGGAAGGAACATCTTGTTTGAGACTCTTCAACAAACGCTTTTTTTATGTGTTTCCAGTCAAATTATTGGTCATTTTGAAATATATTTTACATATTGACAATATATAATGCAGTGCAGTGTTAATTTAAAGAAAATAATCTTGAATTACACCAAGTGAACTAAAATTTTATGGGTGAAATGGCAGCATGGGGTGACTTCTCTTCCACCCCAATGCCTTCTCTGCTCCCTTCTCCTCCACCCCCATTCTAATTCCCTTCATCATCAACCAGGAGCCTTCTACACGCACACCTCAAAGTAAGTGTACTTTACTGCATTTATTTTTAGTTTGTATGTAATTTTCGGAGAGCTGGAACCAATTACCCAAAAACCCATTGAAACAATGGTTTCGGTTAACGAATTTTTCGGTTAACGAGCAACCTTCTGGAACGAATATTATAAAACACACGAAGAGATGAGACGGCATTGTTTTCGTGAATGACAATGGTTCTACATAAGAAACTGAAAATAAGACCCTGGTTGTGGCTGTAGTGAACTTAATTAAAAAAAATTTAATACCTGTATGTATGTTTGAAGTAATGTTATTGAATGTTAATAAATGGAACACTAGAAGTAGCTGACCACTAATGGTAAAGAAATAAAGCGAGACGATTGGGAACGCCAACGTATGAACAGTAAGTGCGTACATGTGAAAACATATCGACATTTCTCTACATATGAATATGAAAGCAATACTGATTTACTATTCATATATGTTTTAAATAATATTTACGAATGTAAAACAAAAATTCTACTCACCAATGGTGGTATTGTCTAAAACATAATGACAGCCAATGAATATTGTGTGAGTTTTTACTCGTGACGAAGTCATCAGGTTCAACTCTGGCTGAAGCTGTAGCTTCCCATAAAGCTGTTACTGAAGTTGAAGCTGCTTATGATACTGAATTTGATGGTGTAGCTGAAGTCGATGGCTTAGGCCTTCGAATAATAAAGCTGTCAAAAGAACCTTGCACAGCTGCTTTCTTTCTCATTATATCCTGTACATCTTTATGTAGAGGTCATTTGCATTCTGTTAATGGATCCACTTCAGAAAATATGTTCATTGCTTGCTCCATATAATATCCATAGACCTCTCACCTTTTTCATATCGTTTTAACACATCTAGTTTCTCGGCTAAGCTTATACACTTTCTATTGGCTTTTGAAACAACACTACCATCACTTGCTCTCTTGCTCATGTTGAATAGGGATGCAAAAATGCTGTAAGAAACTTGAGAAAGTTATTCTCCCTGTTCCAGATACGTGAAAACAAAAGGTCCGCCAAACTACGACTGTTGTTAACCACTCATTAGCCAGGAAGCTTCTTTGCGCAAGGCGCTCTTCATTTTTTTTACAGTAATTTTTCTTTTTTTTATAATACATATTGGGATTTAGTTATTATTTATATGAATATGTAATTTTATTTAATTTGTATTATATTTTGGCTGTAAATACAAATGAAATAAGGATGTAAATTGAATTGGGTCCTAAATTAACTAGGGTCTTAAATATGAAAAGTTGTTGGTTGAACCATTGTTATCGGAGGCTTTACTGTATATTGTATTTACATGCACAAAATCATATGTTTTCCCCCACAAAACCACTTTAAAATCACTTTCAATAATTGTATGACAAACATAATAAAAAATAAAAAATCCACAAAATATTCTTGTAAAATAGGGGTGCGCCTTATATGCCGGCAAATACGGTATGTCACAAATGTAACCTTTCTACACTAAATGGAAGTACAGTAAGCACCAACCTCTGATATCTCGTCTACAGGGTACCTCGGAAGTGGCTAAACTGGCAACACTGGCTGCCAGTGTAAGGGCTACCCAGTGCCAGACATACAATGATTCTCATTCACTTTACTACAGTACTGTATTATAAATTAGCAAAATACTGCACGCAAGTTTTTTTCACAGGTTCAATGCATAGCAACAATGGCTATAACAAAAATATCTCCCTCCCTCTCTCACTACTGATGTCTACAGTATTTTTCACAACCAGCTCTAGATTTCCGACTGTAGCAGATAATTTACCCAGTCTGGGGTGGCGTTCACCACTCTCGAGCTACCCCCACTGATATGACCCCTCCTTATTATACTATTACATTGGCAGTATATACTTAATACTAGTGGCAAACAACCACAGAACTCTACTCATGAATTTTTACATAATTTGTTATGTTGAATCAGTGAGGTGCTTGGTGAGATTTAGCACAAGATATTCTTCATGAAGATTAAGCTGCACACAGCAGCAAAATTTAGCAAGACATTAGAAAAAGTTGTTCTCACTCACCCTTCGGAGGACTCTTCCATAATCAGAGTGACATCTCCCAAATTTTGTTGGCAGCTGGTCTGAAATATCAATATTATTAATTTCATTAGTAAAATAATGCTAAAGAACACAACCTCTTCTACTTAAGTTAAAAGTTAAGGGAAACAAGTTAACCCAAAACAATTATGCAAGATCCATTACATCCCGAGATGTCCCCGCACACAACACTACCACTTTGCGACCTCCTGATGGAAGCATGATAGTTATCACCTGCATGCTGGCCAAACACTGTACAGTATTTTATTAATAATATTAATGTTATTTTGAAGGTATATCCTTCCTTCCTTAGGCTTTATTAAGCCCCTTCATATTACAGTACAGTCATCCCTTGGTTATAATGCACTTGGTTATCGCGATTTTTGTTATCACGCCTCCATCAAAATCTGCACACCTGCTGTTATAGCGCATTTTTTAGGCCAAGAATTTAGTTATCACGCAGTTGCCTCCAGGTGTATTGTTACCCCCTTGCTTCACCTACATCTATTGAGGATAAAATCTTCCACCTACAAATTGACAATAACACATTTGCTGTAATCAGACATATCTAAGTTGCCTCAACAATTGCAACCCCAGTAGCAATTTCAAATTCTGTGTCCTTACTAAGGAATAATGAACTCTCGGGTGCACTCTAAGATTGAGAGAAAACGGAGGACTCAGGCATATTGCAATGGTTCCCAAACCCATGGTCGCGACCCAAATGAGGGTCTCGAGGGTGTTCCTGGGGGTCGTGGGATGGTCTCGAGAAAAAAAAAGAAACATTATAATATTATAACAATCACGTCACTGGCACAATATGAAGAAAAACAAATTGAAGCGTTATTTGCATTCAGTTCATCCAAAGTTTTTTGAAAAGCCACAGAGTTACTGGAAAGACAAAGAAGAACGGATAAAACGAAGTCAGATTGATGCTCCCTCGACTTTAGCTTTTTCTCTGCAGAAAGCGTCCTTGGCATCCTTTGAAGTGGCATGGTATATTGCAAGATGCAAAAAGCCTCATAACATTGGAGAGGAGCTGGTGAAGCCAGCAGCAGTGGCAATGGTGAAAACTGTTTGCAGAGCAGATGTTGCCAAAAGGTTGAATCGATTCCACTTTCTGACAATTGCATCAAACGTCGAATTTATCTCATCTCATTAGATATTTTGGCCCGACTGACTGTGGCACTGAAAAAGCAGGAAATTTTTTGTTGCAGACAGATGAATCTGTGGACATTGCAGGTGACCCTCAACTCACAGTTTTTGTAAGGTACAGAGGAGAAGACAAAATTCTGGAAGAATTTCTCTTCTGCAATGCTTTGTCAAGTACCACCACTGGAAGAGACATCTTTAATATAATGAAATTTTTTTTCAAGAGACATGAGCTAGACAAGTTGAATTGTTTGGCTGTGTGCATTGATGGAGCTCCATCTATGATGGGAAGTTGTGTGGGTTTTGTTACTCGCGTTAAAGAAGAAAACCCTGTCTCTCAACGTTTGCAACTGGACCTCCATACAATTTAGGGTTGTAATATGACACAGGCATATGATTCATGCACATTTGCTGGTGTTTGTAGAATACCTGTACTAGCCATTATTTGTTCAGCCATGTACCTTCACTTACTTAATATTTGTCCATTGTCCAGCATTCTTTCTCACTGGTCAAGGCTGATGGTGCTGTTGTCATGACCAGACAATAGGCTGTGGTTATTTGTCCGGTTACAGACATTTGCTTTCTTCCACTAGTTTTCCAGCATTCATTCTGAATGGCCGAGACTAGTGACGTTGATGACGTCATGGCTGGACAAATAACCAGTGCATATGGCAGTGGTTATTTGTCCAGTCACAGATCTTTACTTATTTACATGGTTAAGTCTGGAAAAGGTCAACCAAGTAACTATACTGTATTGATTTGTATGTAGAGATACAGTAAAGCATTAAAAAATCGGCAGGGTTTATTTGACTGGTATCCAGCCAAATAACCACTGGTTACTTGACCAGGGTCTAGAATAAAACTACATTAAGTACTTCTGGCCACAGGAAATTCTACAAATTATTTTATTGACAATTTAAAACCATTAGATAAAATCAATCAAACAGAAGAGTAAAGGCAATCCCCGGATTATGTACAAGTTTCATCCCTACGGACATTCTTAAGTCGAACCGCATACTATACAAAACAATGTTTAAAATCCCACTATCTCATACCCTAAGTCTTTAAAAACATCAAAAATCCTTAAAAAAAAAAAATAGAATGAAAAAATACAGGAAATGAAAGTAAAAATATTCATCTGGTAAATAAAATACTGCGAATTTAAAGTTTACCTTTAGGGGACCTCATTCGTAAGTCAGACGTACGTAACTCAGGGACCATCTGTATAGACCTCAAAAATTGTTGATCTAATCCAATCTAACCTAACCTACATTATAAAGGTTCATGAGAGAAGTGGGGCATCTACGAGTATCAGAAGACAATTAAATAAGATAAGTAATAAAGCATTCAACATTTAAACAACATTGTAATGACAAGTGTAATGCCCCATTAATATCATAATAAAATCATACACAATCCCCATGGGTCCCTATCGATGTTTGCAAGTAACCAAATTCAGAACATACGTACAGTACAGTAATCCCGTGTTTTTCGCGGGATTTTTATCATGTTTTTTTTACTCAAGAATTATATATAGTACTGTATATAAAATATCCTTTAAAATTTTTTTAATTTCACGCCATGTTCGATATTCTCATGCGGTGCGGCAGAGACGCCACCCTTTCCCGCCTCAGACACCCGCTGCTCCGAGAAGCCTCAGTTCACACGTGCCTACCGTACTGTGAACGCTACTGTGATTACCTCTTCTGTTTGTCCTCCCACGTGCATTCCACATGGCTCCGGGACGTAAGCCAGCCTCATCAAAAGCAAATATTACTAGCAAAGACTCTACGGTGACCAAGAGATCAAGAATAGTGATGACCTAAACGGAAATAACAGTTTTATTGGACAAGCTCAGAGGTGTTATGAGCTATGGCTCGAGATGTGAAGACTATCAATTCATTTGTGTTTTTTGTCAGAATACAAGTCTTCAAGTGGAGGAATGTGGGTGGAAGAGGACTGGCTGGCTGGCGTGACTGCGTGAGGGCGGACAGACGCCAGGACAGCAAGGAGAGGCTGGCAATACGGTTGTTGCTGTCCTCAGCGAAATAAAAAAAATATTTATTTACTTGTAAATAAAAAATTTTTGTGTATAACCGTGTTTACGTTTTTCCATTGTTATACTACAATATGATTAGTTTCAAATAATGATGTTAGTAAATGCCGGTACAGTGCATCAGTGATCAGTGTGACCACTGGGCCGTGAGTGGAGAGCATGGCGTGGTTAAGTGCATAACCTACCTGAGCTGTTTGGTGGCCACAGGTACAGTGATTCCTAAAAGAGTATTTGTGGTTTTGGCTTTTCACGGAGGTTTCAGGAACGTAATTCCCGCAAGAAACACGGGATTACTGTACTGTAATCTAGACCATCGGCATAGGCAAGTCAGAATGAATGCCAGACAAATAGCAAAAGTACATAAAGGTCCAGGATTGTACAAAGGTAATAGCAGCTGGCTAACACCAGAAAGAGATGTTTGATTTTGTTCATTTTTTCTACAGATGTTCTTTGGATAATAGTAAAAATTATATGACAAACTTTATTTTAAATTGAAGTACTGTACTCTATACAGTATATAAAAATTGTGTTTTATATCATAAATCACGATGCAGTGGGCAAGGGATGAAGGATGAAGAAAATTGCCTGGTAAATAGGCCGGTTAAAACTGATCATAGGACACTAAAAGGATGTCTACGTGCTTTGTACACGAGAAAATTAATTATTTAGCGTAAATATTCCCCCGAAAATTCTGCCATTGTCAGCTCGTGTTCTTGTCTGCTCTTTGTTCATTTCTGTGCAACAACCCCCCCCCCCCCACTTGGTCCAAGTGTACTCTCATGTCCACAAAAAATTTAAAATTACACCATGCTGCTTCAAAAGTTTTTTTCATTGGTACCAGATATCAAGGTACTTTTTTTATTTAATATGGCAGGGAATCCCACTACTAGGAAGTTTGGTAAAGTTAGGTAGGTTTATTTGGTTGGTTAGGTCAGATTGTATTCAGTTCTGTTCAGTCATTGTTTTTATTACTTACCATCATCCAAAGAACATGTGGAAAAAATTAATGAAATCAACAATGCGTTCTGGTATTAGCCGTCTGCTCCAGGATTACCATTACTGTACAGTGGATACTCGAGTTTAGCATCGTTTGAGTTTAACGATTCGCAAGTTTAGCGGTTAAGCTAAAAATCCCCAAAACTCGAGTTTTGCGCCACTGCTCGCTAGATAAGCCCATCGCGCTAATGTAGCCATTGTGTTTAAATCTCTCGCCAGTTAGTCACGCATGCTGTTCGAGTTGGTAATCTCCGCTACTATGTAACTTCCCAATGGGCGACACAACCAGGACCTAGTGGGAGTGGAAAACGGCATATAAATGATAAAGGAAGCAGCCCAAAACGTCTTGGTAAGAAGCTGCAGCTGCTTAGTCTCGAGGAGAAAGAAGAGATTTTGGATAAACTTGAACGTGACATGGGTCCTACTCCAGTGGCTAAGTCATATGGAGTGAAAGAGTCTACAAAACAGGGTGCGAGAGTGAAAAAAGAGCAGATAAAGTAGTTTTGGATGCTGCAAGAGGTGGTACTGTTGCTTCTGTAGCACAATTGTGACTATAGACGGGCAGAAATTACAAAAAATAAATAAAAATGGACATTAGCGGTGGGCTGGGAACAAAGCATGGTAATTACATATCTCGAGTTTAGCAGCCGCCAGATGGTACAAAGTGATCACTAAACTCGGATACTTACTGTAATTTTAATTCTCCATATAAAAAGAATTGCAGTTTTTCAAAATCTAAATATGATTTTCATGAGTTTACACCTAACATTTTCCTCTGCCCATCAGACTTGCATCCTGTGCATTAAATAAACATACAGCAGCAGAAATCCAAGAATACACAACAAAGTCTTTACTTTTAAAGAATAAAAAAGGTAATACAAGGGGTCCTCAATATAAGTATCTTCATTATCAGTGGTTTTGCACTTAAGTGGTCAAATAATTGTGGACCTACACGTAAAAAGTCCCCGTCGTTAAGAAGCTTGTTATGACCTTGGCCTCTTAGGTTGTAACAATGCAATTCAAATTCAACTTCACTATGTATTATTCTTAAAGTTGAGTTAACTCTATCATTAGGGTTATCTTTGTATCGAAGGGCCAAGCAATAGATCCCACCAAAATCATCACCTCATTACTATGGGGTACAGTATATTGAAAATCATTTAGTACATTTAATTACATAAATAAAAAATATATATATACATTTAAATAAATATATCAGTTAAGTACAAAAATAAAACAAAGAAACTAATGTACCGGGTAAATCTGATCAAACAAGTGACTCAACCAAGTGACAAAATAATAATCATAAAAGTAATGACTAAAGACTTATTTAAATGGTTATCCAACACACGTAACTCATAAACAAGCAAGTTATTTTACCGTGGCATTTTGAAAAATGACTACCCACAATCTCACATATAAATCACTATAAGATACTTGGTGTTCTTAAAAGTTGAGCAAAGTTTACACGTTATACCACTAGAAATATACAATATGAGAGGAAATACTAATCTTATGACTCCCAGCCCAATACTAAAGCCACCGGGCTCCGAGACGTAAAACTAAGCGAGCAGAGGTGGGCGGAAAGGACGTCATAAACAAAGACATTCAAGTTGCAAATCCGCAAATAACTATCGAACGCTCACTCGTTCATTAGTATTCGAGACTAATATAATAAACTGTAAGCGCCTTCCGGGCGTTTAAAGGTTAACCAGACTCTTCACGTTAAACTCAAACGTTATAATTCGGTCAAACCTGTTGAATACCATTCATTTTAGTATTTCAGATAATTCATACATAGGCAATCACACATAAATGTTTAATCCAATATATATTCACATAACGATCATAGCTATGTAATTTTACGGGAATTGGTCTAATCTTAACACATAATGAGTACTGTACTTAATTTGCCATATTTCTATGTTGTCACAATTATAACCGATGCAATGGACACAGTCTACCTGTGTAAACTTAAGTACAAGTTAAACTTATGTGTTGAAAGTCTCAAGGAAACAGGTTAGGAAGTGTTGCCTCTATGATGGGGATAGCTACAGTGCCAGTCCCTGCCCGGCGTCACATGCCCAGCCCTGGCTGGCCGAATTAGCCGGGTCAGGTGTTTATACACAAACAAGCTCCCTTACTACCACCCAATACCTCAACCTTCTCTGGGTCTCTATCTCCACCATCTCAATACTCTATATACTGTATGCAGGCAGGCACACCCAATAAACATGACATGACTTACAGCCTAACAGTGTTTGTTTATGTGTCATCCTACTCATTACAACTTGCGGTAACACTACTCATTACTGCTTGCTGTAACAAACATTACTTTGTTTTACCTGACACATCAAAACTAATGTTACTACATTTCAAGTATAACATACTATATGTCAAATTTTAACTGCTTCAGTTGTCTACACAACGAATCATTCGAAGTTCATATGCCGACCAATACTCTATTCATTGGTTCTTATTCCGACACTCATAACAAGGCTTCTTAGGCTAAAATCTGCCAATCTTTGGAAGCACAAGTGTTTGAGCGATTGAAATTCCTGCTTGCCTCCCATTCTCTTAAAAGGTCATCCTTCTCACCTGCGCTATGCACGCTCAGTACCAGTCGCCTGTGTCCACAGGCATTACTTTGAAGTGCTACAAGAACAATAATTATCAACTTTGTTGGGTCTTTGGCGACATTGACGAACTAGTCTTGTAGCCATCAGTTCCAAACTGAAACAAGGTGGTGTAGTGCTTAAAAAGAAGCATAGTACCAATGGGATGGGCGTGAAATTAGAATTTACATGTCGGTAGGCTTAGCTTAAACTAACCTAACCTATCCTATTCATTTCCAACTAATATAAATGGGGTTCAAAAGACAAAAAAATGAGATCTAAATGTTTCAGTAGTTTTAAACTTTGGGGTGCGCCATGTCCGAAAGTACAATATCTTAGTTAGAAGTGGAAGGACCAGGGATAGGTTCAACCTCTGAATCTTGTTCTTTCAAAATTTACAAGGCAATTTTTAGTGAGGGCACTCAACAGACACAGGGAGAACACCGTGATTACGTAGGCATTGGATAGCATGATCGTATTTCTTGTAAATCTCGGCAATAAACTTAAAATAATCGCAAGAGCACGATTCACAACCAATCTCCACCACGGCCATTGTGACACCGGTCATTGAAATTAAAATCCATCAAATCCGTACTTTGGCTCCTCCCTTTAAAAAAAATTCAATTTTGAGTGGTCAAAAAAAAAATAAATAAAATAAAAAATCTCTTGATGAGATCGTTACATCATTGGTCACGACTGGAAGACGTCACGCATGCGTGATGTAAGCACGCTCATAATTAGCTCGCTTTCACGACGATAACATCTCCTCACACAGACGAAGATTGAAAAGTATGTAAACAATTAAATTCAATTGTGTCGTTATTATCCATTTCAGAGTGTCATAAATGGGGTTCAAAATGCTCAGAATAGCGAGATCTAAATGCTTCAGTAGTCTATAACTTTGGGGTGCGCTATGTCCTTAAGTAAAATAATACCATAATAACTTCCAATTTGTCACTAATACTACCAGCGACTAACGGTCTGTTGGTGGTGACGAAATGGGTTTTTGGTGACGAACCAGGTTGGTGACGAAATGGGCTGTATCCTTCACCACAGTAGCAGGTAAGCTCAAAAAAATGGTTAGGCTAGGTTATATGGTGTGTTTTACTCAAACCGATCACCATTTTGGTGCAAATTAGCAGTTTGTTACAATTTTTTTTAAAGCCGCTAATTTACACCAGAAATGAAGATCAGATTTTATTAAAGCACCATAATAAAATAATTATAATTTTGTATCAGAACCTAAGAACAGCCAATGGATGAATATTTACCTTATGTTTTTCCGATGGTTTTACATGGGTTTTGAACAACTTCCAAATAGGTGGATGACAGAAACAATAATTTTACCTCAGTTTGGGTCTGGATCACTTTACCCAATGTTTACTAAAACGGAAAAACCGTTCCTGTTACCGACAACCTGCATTGAAAGGCTGCGAGGGGGTGAGATTTCCAACCACTGCCAGGTGTACCAGAGGGTTAAGTACTGTAATGTAAGATGTACTTGTGTTATGTACCATCACATTACTGATCAGCTCAACCCCATATAAGGCTGTCTATGGAAATTTGCTTCTCGAGTTTTTTTGTTTCAATTGATGTGCGGTATTTTTGGCCAGTCTTTATATACCGGCACTGACTAAGTACATTACCATCTAAGGTAAGATCATGTGACGATTTAACTAATTATCCAATTATCAAAATCTAAGTCTGCCAACTTTGTAATTTGCACCACAAAGGAGGATTACCATTCTGGCCTCATTAATGACGTACAACGTATATCAGTTCTCGAGAACATAAAGCCATTATAAAACTTAATACCCCACGACTGTTAATTAACGTTAAATGACATTAGTTATCAAGTAATGGGGATAACAGGAGGAAAACACCTACCACATTCTCGAAGTTGTCACCAGATTCATCAAGTTTGTGACCTTCCCTTCCAATACCTTTTGATATGCTCAAGTTCTCCAGAAAGAGTAATTTGTAGTCTTCTTACCTTGCTTTATGAGACGACACCAGCACCTACTGGTTTTTGATGAAGGATACCCAGCAGTGTCAGAGGAGAGCCCCACCTATACCTTCACAGGCAAATTATTCACTGACACAAGCTCTTGTTCCGGCTCGCGCAACAGTGTTAGTCTGGAAAGATTTTGTATAAATCTTCTTAATAGTTTAACAAAACTAGCGTATATTAATATAAAATATACATTTTATTATATTTATAAAAATAATTAACTTCATTTTTGTGAATAGTGCAACAATCGATAATATTTTACATCTAACGTGATTCATTTCTGAAACAATTGATAGTCACAAAAATGGCGATTCATTTTTAGGCGGAGAATTTAAAAGGAAGATTATCCTCCAATAACCAAAGACTTAATCATGTATTTCTTTTTTGGGGGCTTAGATTTCCATCTCAAAATACCACAGAATATCATACACATAAACCATTTTATTTCACCCTTTTCCCTATACTTTTGTCTCAATTAAAACATACACACACATGATCACTCTTTACAATGCGACTTGTAATTTATAAATCCTCTTTGATGCTTTGCCCATTACTGAGTAACAAAAAAAGAACACTTCCGTTGCCCATATTCTTAAATCTAATTTTATCATTTATGTATTGATTTAAATTACAATCTCTATCTTTAAAAACATCCATGTCATATACTGCAACATCTGCCATTATTGTGTAATTTACTAAGTTAATACGTAAGTTGGAGGATTAAAATGTCCAAGTGATATTTTGTGTCTCATGCTCAAATTCAAATTCAAATTCAAATGCTAACTAGCCCGCCCAAAACTACTCAAATTCAAATCAAATTCAAAACATTTATTGACAATTACATCAAACGGAGTTGGTTAGCATGCTAATCATAAATCAGATATGTTGTAGTGGACGTCTCCCCTACAACTGCGTATCCGCATTCCAATGCCACAGTATCCTAGCAACCAGCCACCTGCTACGTCTTCCCTAGCAAAGGAGTCAAGAAACCGGCGAGTTCCCACGGGTTTACTTCCAGCTGCTGTGTATATAAGCTCTGTCTCTCCGTTAAGATTCATTCTGGCCTCGGTTCCTGAACACGCAACACCTCCTCCAAGCAAGCTCCTCGCTGTCCAGCTCTCATTCAACCTGGAGGCCAGCAACAGGCAACATCTCTAACGAAGCTCCTGCACATCTACCTCCTTCAGCACGCTACTCACCGAACATGTCTACTGAGCAGCTCCTCACCACACGGCATCTCCAGCACCAGACTGTCTCTCATATAATTTATATTATATAAGAAAACCACCACCTAGAGTTTCCATCAATCCCATCCTGAGTGCTAGACAACATAATATCACGTAACCCTACAATGTATACAACAAATAGATATGCATAAATCTACAATCTTATGTTAAACTTACAAAATGTATGAGACTTTACATAGCCACACAGTTTACAAGGAATGCCATCAGTTCCTTCAATATATATTGCCAATAATATTTGTATCCAAAGCGTAGCCTCATCACAAATGTATCATACGTAACCGAAGCTTTATCATAAGTAGAACTTGTAGAATTCAAAACTCGAACATAATGTTTCAAACTTCTACTACCCTTGTTCAAAATTTTCCGAATATTGTCCATTTGCCATTGATTTCTGATTTTTAAAATTCCAGATTCTATTCTTTTAATACCCCAAATACAATCGTATTCTACAATTTCTTTGCCACACCCTGCTTAGCCAAATCATCAGCAACCTCATTCATATAAATACCACAATGGAATGGAATCCACATAAAACTAACATCATATCTAAGTGATTCTATGTCATGAATACACTTCTTACATTTTAAAACTAAATCATCATCAAGAGGCACTTGAGAATTTAGAGCAAATAGAGCGCTTTGACTGTCAACAAACCCCCAAAACTGTCTTTTTCCTCGCAAAGGCATTCTTAAGTCCCACATATATAGCATAAAGTTCAGCAGTGGTGCTGGAACTTCTATCCCCAATTCTCTTGGATATTCTTTCTTCAACACTAATACCATATTCAAAAAATTCCCTAATAACAATGCCACATCCGGCCCGATTCATATTAACTGAACCATCACAGTACATATGAATAACATTTTCCTTATGGTACTCAGATATTTTCTCAAGGAATATTTCCCGTAACTCAAAAGGATTACATTCTTCTTTTTTTTAAACTCTAGTTTATCCATTCTTACAGATACACGCTCCATGAACCAAGGTTTCAAATAAACTTTGTTTGGCAAAAGGCACACACAAATCTACAATATTATATTTACACAAGATCTGACAAAGTTTTTTTAGTTTAAGTGTTCATCTTAAAATTACTAGTAATTGCATTAGTAAATTTATCAACAGCACACTTCAGATATCCATCACCACGCCTAATAAGCCTTAGAGTAGAAACGACAGTCAACTCCCTAATTCGGTGTATTATGCTCGAGACGTTTAGCTCCATCCTCATAATCTCTATTCTTGTCGTCCTTGGACAACCAAGTGTAACGACCACGGTCTTACACGTCAGTTAGCGCCAAAGTCAAATGATTCATATTACGCTCAATAGCCCACAAAACATGTAACTCGGCTTTCGTTTGAGTCCTCCATCTGAGGAGTCCGTTTTCTCATCACTTCAAGACACCTCAGTCCTCCGTTATCCCATTTTCTCTGACTTACTGAAACCAACTTCTCTATAAAATGAATTTGAGTGTGAGAGAGAACACCCTTGTTTTGAATCAACTTAGATATGTCTGTTTACAGTTGGAACATTCAAGATCCATTGTGAGTGGGGTAGAACGCTTCAACTGTCCTTATCGTTAAGAGAACGTGTCAAGTAAGTGAGTGTCGAGTTTGCCAGCTAGAGTGGCGTATTTTATGTCATCCGTGGGGGTATCCATGAGTTTCTGATCGCGCCTGAAGTTATATCATTTTGTCGCCCCGACATCAGAGAATCTGATGTTTATAGCTTAGTTAGTGTCAGTTGTCTATTTAAGAAAGTCATTAATCTCCTGAACTATTCTGTCAACTGATATAATCTTCAAGATCTAGCGCCTCCCCGTGAATAGCTCCTTGTTCGCCTCAGGCCTTAGCTTGCAGAATTAATGTTATCGACGTGTATATTCCACCTTTTCCTGGCAAGCTCAACCTCTGATTAGATTATATGAATAGACATAGGAAATTACCCTGATCAAGAACACCGGAGTTCATAACCAAGTATACAGTGATCCAAAATGATAGAGAAGTTATGTTGTTGGTAAGATCGACCCTTCTGGTATGAATACGGAGGTCCAAGCTGCCCCACGGGTGCACGTATATACCTCTACACGAGGGAGAATCACGCATTCGTGACTCTTCCTCAACGTCTCTCCAGGTATGTTAACGTGTGTTCCCCGCCGCCTATTAATTCAGTTTAACTTAGTCAATTTTGGTGAAAATCAGTGTTCAGGTGTTAACATAGTGAATTCTGTGCCAATTAAGTCGAGTAACGTAGAGATTTAGATATCGTCTGAGCCGTTGCCAGGCGTATGTTTTGTATAGTTGAAATTAGACCTTTACGCATTCGTGACTCTTCTCAAACGTCTCTCCAGTGTGTTGAGCTGAATACTCATCGGCTAACGTGGGTCGGTAACTGGGTTGGACGATGCCGTTAATTCGACAGGATTTAACTGGGAAGTCCGTTTCCTGCAAATCAGGCGCCAGCCCCCTGGGCTTGTGTCGGTCTACAACTGACCCCTAACAGTGATCTCATTTGTTGTAGAGACCAGCGTTACCCTGGGGCACTCCTCACAGTTACATGGGCCTAAGTATTATTGTATCTTGTTTGGGGGATAACTAGCAGAAATATAGTATCCCAGGTTAAGTATTGAACCACTGAATGAGAGTTAAAAGTGCCATGTTGTTCCTTGCGAATTAACAGGAGGTATTGTAGGTTGCGATAATTGTGCTATGTATTCATCGGTAGTGACCATGAAATGATAATCTGAGAGTATAATGATATAACCAAGAAGTGAAGAGTCAATTTGCTACTTGGTAAGGTAAGACCTGAGGGTCCAGTGATATCTGGTGTATACCTAGTACTGAATATCATTTGGCAGAGTGATAATACCACAATTGTCGATTGAAGTAATAAGTATTTGGAGGTATTTAATGAGGTAATAAGTTCTTGAAGTGTTTGATGACTTAATAAATAAATTGCAGTTCTGTTTTGTCTGAGTGAATCTAAGATGCATCTTATCCAATCACTGTGTTAATAAATATTGAATTAGTAATCTACGTCTACGAGTATCACCACTCTATCCTTTCCCACATTGGTTCTCAGAAAATAACTAACTCACGTGCCTAGAAGCTCGCTACCTAACAGTTAACTAAGATATGTTATATTCTAGAAAAATCCTGGGTGGTGGCAGTTCTACCGGTGTAAGTATAATAAGTGTGGTAATAAGAAAGACATGGTTTCCCAGGTTAATCCATGGTTTAGAATATAACTAGAACAAAATATATGGATGAGATCATAATATATGAAAGGAAATGAAAAGAAAGAACATTGACTTGGAAAATATAAGCAGAGAAGCATAAGAGTTACTTATATAAGAATATAAGGTATATAGAGATAAAGAACATATAAGAATATAAGCAAGAATATATAAGAATAAGTATATATGTAAGGAATTGAAGAAGGATAACTATATAAAACAGGACACTCATTGGAAAGAATGCTACAACGAACATAGAAGTATATGAATAAATAAGAAGACTAACAGAAAAATAATATCTGGATGGTAAATTATAAAAAGAGAAAACTCGGCCCGTTACACAAGCACAATCCTCATTTCTTCATTCTGAATAAGCTCTAATGGCCTAAGATCTTTTCCTGAGTAAGAAGCTAGAACTGGAGCTGAATATTAATTAATCAATGATGCTCCTAACTGTACTTAAGTACATAGATCTTAAAACTGTATACCAACACCATTTCCTCTATTTGACAAAACTTTCAGAGGTTTTAACCTAACTGTACATATATTTTTTACATAAGTAATTTGAGCCTTAACATTATTATTTATACTCACTGTTACGAGTGTCCGCT